TTCAAGCAACTTCGTCGCATTCAATCTCTACGACATGCCATCCATGCTAACAACGACTATACCTCCGCACAGGTAGCTCGTTGCGAGCATTGGAGTTCCATTCTCCGAGCCAGAGGATTCGACAAGGGCTTCCGCACCTTCTGGAACATTGGCTATGAAGACGGGACTCCTCATGATCCTCCTGTTCTTCCTATTGCCATCCCCTCGTGTGAAGGCATTGACCGTATCTATGCTACCTTTCGGGACCGTTTTGACCGACTTGAATCTTGGCATATTAGACAACGCTGCCGAGTTCTGAAGGCCAAGCACGATGCATCCATGGCAGGCCTCTATGGTGAACTCCGTAGGCAACCCAAAGCCAAACCTGATCTTTTGTGGCACGACCACTACTACACCATCCTGGACTTTGAGCCCTCCACTGGGTCCCTTCACTTGGACCGACCACTCGACCTCCATGGACAGTCCACATGGACCATCAATGGGGTGCGAACAACCGTCATGGAGTCCGAAGATGATCTTTGTCAGGTCTCTTCCTTGCCTACTCAGCTGATTCCTGGCGATGAACTTCACCAGCATCAGGTCCTTTCCGACTTGACGGAGGTCCACCAAGCCTTTGTTGATTTCTGGCGTCCTCGCTGGAATGCTTACAGTGATATCCCTGAAGAAGATTGGCTACGCATCGTCAATTTCGCCAAGGCGCACATGCGGCCTATCAGCTTTGATCTTCCGGCCATCCAGCCTTCACATTGGCAAAAAGCACTGAGACGGTACAAGCCCACCGCGGCCAGAGGGGTTGATGGACTGGACCATCGTGACTTTCTCCATATGCCCTCCGCGCTTACTGCATCATTGCTCACCATGCTCTCCTCCATTGAGGCTGGGGCCCCTTGGCCATCTCAAACTCATACTGGCCTCATTCAGGCACTTGCCAAAACTCCAGATGCACATGAGGTTGCCTCTTTCAGGCCTATTGTTGTCCTCAGCTTGCTTTATAGAACGTGGGGCAGCATTCGCAGCCGACAGCTCCTGGCGCAGTTGTCGCAGTACCTCCCTGCTGAACAAGTCGGCTTTATCCCTGGACAGGAAGCAGCTGGCATTTGGGCATACTGGCAAGCACTGATCGAACTCAGTTGCAGAGGTGGTTCCGCTCTATGTGGATTGAGCTCTGACATAGTACGGGCTTTCAATTGTCTGCCCAGGGCTCCTTTGTTCTGGATGATCGACTATATTGGTACGCCTGGCTCCGTGACGGGGCCATGGGCCACCTTTCTGTCGACCATGTCGCGGACCTTTGTGGTGCAGGGGGAGCTCAGTCAGTGCTCGCTCAGCACCGTTGGCTTCCCTGAAGGAGATGCTCTTTCAGTGTTTGCGATGTGTATCTTGGACTGGACCTGGCACATTTATGCTCAACAGTTCTGCCCTTCGGTCAATGCCTACAGTTATGTCGACAATCTGGGCCTTTTGAGTTTGGATGCGGGCTCACTTGCAATTGGGTTCTCCACCATGACCTCCTTCTTCAAACTTTGGAGATTGGAAATTGACCTTGACAAATCTTACTGCTGGGCTGTTGATGGCGACAATCGCAAGGCTCTTGCACAGTTCCCACTTCAACGACTTGAACATGCCAAAGAACTTGGTGGGTCACTCACCTTTGGCGCACGACCAAGGGTTTGCGACATCAAAGACAGGATGTCGCGCCTAGATGATCGTTGGCCAGTATTGAAGAGATCTGCTGCCTCTTTGACACAGAAGTTGCTTGCGCTTTCTACTGTGTTTTGGCCGGAGGGGTTACATGGCATTCTTTCCTGCAGGTTCGCTTACTCACACCTGGATGTCTTGCGTCGCAAAGCCGTTTTGGCTTTGGGCTGGAGGAAGGCGGGATCATCCCCTGCCATGAGATTCCTGCTCTCTGATATGCCGTTTTCGGATCCTCTGCTATGGCACCACAAGACTGTCCTCATGGATTTCAGGAGGCTTTGCAGGAAGTCCTCTGACTTTTTCATGCATTGGGCTACGTTTTTAGCTGCCTACAATGGAGATCTGCTAGCGGGCCCTTTCTCTAAGATGCTTGAAATGACATCGCATCTTGGTTGGAGTTTTCTCAGCGCAGACAGGATCCTGGACCACTGGCAGGTTGAATGGTCTCTGCTCAAGGTTCCTTGGCACTGGTGTGAACATCGTTTGCTGGATGCATGGGCTTGGCGTGTTGCACAAGGCTTTCGTAGCCGCAAAACTGCCGAAGATCTACATGGTATCGACCTTTGGGCACATCGGAGCTTCACACGCTCACTTTCTTCTTTGGAGAAAGCACAGCTGTCAGCCATCTCGAGCGGGTGCTACATTGACAATGCGAAGTTCGGCAGGTATGATGTTGCCATTGATCGGTTGTGTCATCACTGTCAGTGCCCTGACACACTTGAACATTGGTTTTCATGCCCCCTTTTGGTTTCCCTCAATGGACCCTTTAGAGCCACTTTCCCTGATTTTGACTCTTGGCCCCGTTGTTTTAAAAACCATGTTTTGCTGCCACAAGCTGCGCTGGTGACCGAACTCGCTGCTTACTTTGACGCACTGCCAGATTGTACGACTGAGTTTTTGTCCAGACCATGTTTTGGCCAGAACCATGTTTTTACGGATGGAGCTCATTTTCAACATAGACAATCCCGGGTTGCTCACTCTGCATGGGCCTCGGTGAGTGCTACTACGGGTCAAGTCATTTGTGGAGCCCCTCTTCATGGTCCATGCCAGTCAATAGGTAGGGCGGAGCTCACCGCCCTTGTGAGCACGGTCAGATGGGGACTGCTTGAGACACAAGCTGAAGTTCATGTGTGGTCGGATTCCCAGCATATTGCACTTGGGCCCGCCTTTGTGCAGAACACGGGGGTCATACCACACACATGGGAGCACCAGGACCTTTGGCTGGGGCTCAGCGCAGCCCTGGATGCCTCAGAAGTCGGACAGTTTTATTTCCATTGGGTGCCCAGTCACCTTGATGAGAGGCACTGCGAATCGCCATTTGAAGACTGGCTTCGTAAGTGGAACGATGTTGCAGATCGAATTGCTGGATACATGAACTCCAACCGTCCTTCACAAGTGTTGGCATTGTTTGAACGGGTCGCCGCTTACGATATTTGCTGGCGACACCGCCAAGAACATTTGTTGCAGTTCATTGTTTCTGCAGGAGATTTGCGAACTACCGAAGAAGAGCACATTGAGACTGTCATTTATATTCGTTGAATAGTACCTGAATCGTTGGGCGAAGGATTTTAATTAAAAAACTGTATTTAAATCTTTCGGGGCAGACGTCATTTTGTATTTTTTAAATGTGCCAAGGTCGGGGCTGACTTTTTTTTCAATGAGATTCTGTCGTATTAAAATCCTCGGGCCGACGTTTTAATATAGTCCTGGGGCCGACGTTTTATTATAGTCCTGGCCCCAACCTACATGATCACATCTGATACTGAATTCATGGGCTTATTTAAATCCTAGTATGGACGTCAAATCCCCACACATGTCCCCCCAAAGTTTGTATTTTTTTCCTTCCGGACAAGAAATGTAGACCACTGGTCCAGGACAAGCGCATGCCATCATCACCCAAAGGAAAGCGGCGAGAAGCCCACCCACACACCCAACAATGCAAGAGAGGTTTGCAGTCATGGCATCACTTTTGATGTCCCCCAAACATGTACAAACCACTTTATCACTGTGTCATGTCTTGTGTGTTCAGGGGCCCGGCTGGTCATTTCCTGGTTGAGTATTGGCCTGGCATTTTTGAGGCACCATGATATGATTATAGAAGGACATGCATGTTCTTAAAAAGCTACGGCCATACACCGAGGTCGGACAATCGAAACGGGTCATCGGGTCCTCGGTCAAAGTCCCAAAATAGTAAGGCCAGGAGCCCCTAGTCGCTTCTTGTTCCCAGTACTCTAGTAATAAGGCCAAGAGCCCCTAGTAGCGTCTTTTGTATTAAAATTAGACCTTGACCCCGTGCAAGCACTCACAGACTGGGAAAACATGCATGACTACATTCCGGATACATGCATTATTAAATTCCGGGCCTGAGCTACCATGTGGTCCTCATTTTTGCTGGTATGTTATTTCAACATGCTTATTAAAATCCTTGTGCCAAGGGTTAATTTTTTGGGGTAGCAAGTTTTGGGATTTTTGGGTGTCGTATTATTTTCCTGGGCGCCAGCGAAAAACAAAAAAACATTCTTATTTTTTCCTGGGGTTGACCCCTAGGATTTTAATATGCACTATTGGAGGGATATTCATTTCCAGTGACACCGACTCAGGACTTCCACCTACCCTGACGACTGCACTGGTGACGACAGGAGACCTTCAGGTGGAGCCAGGCCGTTTGCCGCCCGCTTTCTACAAGGAGCTGGTCGGCTGGCTGCGCCGCTGCGGAGGTCCTGAGAGCCGTAGAACCGTTTGTAGCTTTCTCGAATTCGTTTTTCTTTACGCTTTCGTTGACTCCGGCTTGTTTCCCTTTGAAGAAGTTGGAGGCCGCAGAGTCATGAGGCAGGTACAGGACCTTTTTGTTCGACCGACGGTCACCACCATGGTCGATATGGTTAGGGTTGCTCTTACCGATCTCTGTCGTCAGTTGGACGTCGATTTTTGCTCGGGTTCCCTCGGGTGTTTTGCTTGGTCTTGGTATCCATACCCCTATGTTTGGTATTCCTATCGATTTGAACCCTTCTCATCTCGACCTTGGTCGTCGGCTTTTGCGGAGATGGACATCATCTCGACCCATTAGGAGGGCGGCTGACCTTGCTCGCCCCTTTTCAGAGACTTGAGCCGCCTCGCGGCCGGACACGCAGCTCGCGGCGCCGCTCACGCCGCGCCCGAGCGACCGAACGTCAGAGATATATACATACATGAAACCTGCCATTTCGGAACTTCCTGCTCAATCTTTCTTACTGGTGAGCTGCGCATATGAAGTCAAAACGCAGCCCTGAGCCTGAATTGCCAGAACACCCACAAACTCAGGCCTCATCTGCCTCCTCTCCAACCAAGGCTTGCCACTTCAGGTTCAATGCTTGAGCTCGCAAACGACCAACGTCCCCTTCCATTCCTGAAACTCAATTCTTCAACTTTTAAGGGCTTCTGCAAAGCTGATCGAAACGTCTCGAAACAACCAGGGAGAACCCTACAGAAAACCGCATGCAATGCCACGTGTCCGTTGCACCTGAGGTGCCATCCTCCAGTTGCTGCAACAGTCTGCCTTGACATCCACAGCACGCGGGTCACGTTGCTGTGCCCCCCCGGTGCGACGAAGGAAAACATGACACGTGCGTCACGTGCGTTCCTTTTGGGCGAGCGAAAGGGTGTCCAGCTGGTGCTTGAAGCCTTTGGACTCGACGGACAAACATACCGTTTGGAGTTCAATCCTCGGCTTCAGTTGCATTCCTGTTGGGGGGGCTGAGCGCTCTCTCTAAGAGAGTCAATGAAGGTGTGGCTGTTGTATCGGGCGCGGTCATAGTTCCAGTCGTTTGTCTGATGTTGATGTATGTGATTTTTTGTTTGTATAGTATATGGTTGTTGTCATTCTGGCTGCAATTGCGCCTTGTGGATCCTTGGCGTGTTCATCGTCAGGACTGAACACTCAACAGCCACTGGGATGAAGCTGTTACGTTGCATGCCTGGCGATACACATCAGCATCCGCATGGTTCAGGAGGCTGGCCTCATTGGAAGCACTAAACGGTAGCAGAACCAGAGCTGAAAGCAATCATCCCGTAGGGCTGGGGAGCAACCAAACAAGGCATTTAACCCTTGCAAGGCACAACTCCGCTGCCCCAATACTGATGTCATGATGCATCATGACGCTGAATTGCAGGAGTGGTTAGTTGCAAATTTGGATGCAGAGCTTGGATCTTGCTGCAGGTTGAAAAGCCATGTGATGGTTCCAACGCCCTATGCAACAACAGCTCTTTGCCCTTCATGCCCCCACTGTGATATAAGGACATCCGGATCCCCTTGCTGACAATATGACAGGTTCGGCATCGACCAAAAACTGCTCAAAAGTGCCAGGCTACCTATGGTGGCTCTGGTCTCCGCCAAGGCCTCTTCATCGCTGGCCAACATGACAGCTCTGCACTGCCGTTGCTTAGCGGAAGCCCCAGCAAACGCCGGGAACCTGAATCACTTGGGCAAATACCAAATCTGTAGCACCAAAAGGGTTGAGATTGAAAGCAGGAATCTAGAACAATCTAGAAAATTATATGTATATATATAGGTCTATTGATCATCAACCTTGGCTGCACTCCTCCTTTCCAGATTTCAAAGCCTAGAAGGCCATTCAAAAGCCGCTCAGTTCCAAGGGCCCTGCATTGAGTCGAGCGCCAAGCAGGCGGCGACGGAGGCCACCAGCAAGCATCGATAACGACACATCTCGCTAGAGAGCTATGACGCGAGTCTGCACTCCCCCTCAACAGTGGTCGTAGCATGTCTAGTTCCTGCTCTGGTTTATGAGCTCCATCATGGCGAGCTCTATGGCGAAACCACCCTCTCATTGGCTTTGTGGGCATTTGGCGCTCACAGCAATTTCATGCCATGTCTGTCTTGCGCTCACTTGCGTTTTTCAGCTCGCCACCAACACCCTCGGAAAATGGCTGCAAGTTGGTCGGGTGACATTGGTGACCAAAAACACTTCACACCGACATGACATCCATGGATTCCGTTTCATTCCATCACTTTGTGGCGGTGTTGATCTATGTGGTCCTCCCACACGACAGACGCCACAGGTAACGGCCGGCAGCTTCGAAGACTGCACCTCATGGGGCGTTCACGGCCGGTCAGCTGAGCCAAAAGAGCTTGTATTACGCGCTAGTGCAAACAACATCTTAGGTTGGCAACAAGCTGATGCCATCAATTCCTCCCGCCCATTCCGCCAAATCAGAGAAGGTCAGACTTCAAGAAACGATGGACTGCTGCTGACAGGCGATCTGAGCGTCCCAGCCTCAACAATGAGCCGCAACCCAAGAGCGCTTCTGCAGCTGCACGGCCCAGATTAGGGCAACCTTCCAGCCTCAGTGACTCAGTGAACCACATGCAACCCAAACATCTCAACTGCACACCTTGTCCAAGTCTTGATGGGTCCGCATCACATCAGCCCTCTCCTCGACTCCTCCTCCCCCAATGTCAAGCAGCTGTAAAGATTGGAGCTGAGGGCCGCTAGTGTCTGCCACCTCTTGGCAACAACCCACTGCATAGTGCACAAACTTTGCCCACTCCAATTCCAATGAAACAAACCCAACGAATGAAGGCCCCTGCCTTGCTTGCAAACTCTGCCACCTCAAGAGTCCAGGTGCCACATGACAAGCCAATGCCTGGGCCTTGTTCGAAGAAACCCTCCATGTCGTCTTGTTGATACGGATGGGATGAGGGTTGGATGGTGTGCCTTTCTGTGCCCCATTGGGTGTCGCCTTTCGTGGTTGCAGACGATCTACCTATCTATCCGTCCATCCATCCATCCATCCATTTGCCTCGTAGAGGCAGCGAGAGAGCCAGCTGCAGACTGTGAGTGAGACTACCACTGTGTTTCCATTAATTACAATCGGTGTTTCATTTGACTAAGGCGTCCAGGTTGTGTCTTCCTGCATTGGCCTTTTGTTGGCACAGAGCTGTTTTGGGTTCCCTTCCTTGTGTTTGTATCTTTCTGCCTTGGTGATGTGTCTTTGGCATCTGGCATGAAGCCTGCCCCCTGCAAGTTCTCCTCTCTCCTTGCTCAGGAACTGTGATTGCACCTTTTAGCAAGGAATCATAGGTGACACACCCGGCGAGGCGTTTTTTCAATGGACATCTGTTTGCTTTTGTGGCATTGTAGCTTTGTCCAATGTGCATGCATGCGTTTTTGTCCAAAACAACGCCAGCGGCAGGAAGTTGGCGGACGCAAAGTGCAAGAATAAGGACAACAAAAAGCTGATGGATGTATATACCTACAGTAGCAGCTGCCAAACATCAATGCACAACAAAGCAAAAGCATGCAAAAGCCGTTTCCGGAGAGTGTTGCTTGCAGTGCTAGTGCTGCTGGTGACTGGTGTCATTATGTCCCCACAACCCACATGCTTGACTGGACAGAATGGGTCAAAAAAAAAACGAAAGGACATAGAAGCATGGATCTTCGCTTCCAGTTCAAGTGGTTTCACACCAAAGTAAACCGAGAGCGACGCAGCTCCCTCCGTCAGCTGTCTGCCTCAAAAAATGCTGTCTGGCAACTTGCAAAAAAAGCAGGGATAACCTGGACAAGAATACAAACTCAAAATACAAACTCAGAAATCGTACCAACAGGAAGTCCGCACTCCTTCCGCACTGCATGTGTTCTGCCAAGTTGCAGCAGCTCAGATCTAAAGACCGCAGCCGTGATCCAAGTAGCTCTTGCAAACAGCGATCAGTGAGGCCTTTCAAGTCGTGGGAACGGTGCTTCCACTCGCCACCGAGAACAAAAGCAAGCTCTCCACTCTCCACTTGCTCGCCACTTCGCCATACTTTACGACTATGGATATCCTTGAACTTTGAACATATGTCCGATTGGTCACAAAGTTCCCCTCTACCCGCATTGCTTAGCTTCACTCTGATGCTTTGCCGCTTCGCCTGCTGCAGAGGCCAGGGAGAGGCTCTTCAGCTTCTCGAGTCCAGCTGCATAAGTCACTGCATCATCCGACAGCCGAGGGGCCTGCGCTGCGAGGCTGCCGGGCAAAAGCGGAAAAACAACGGACTTGGAAACACCGGGAACAAGAAGCTACTAGGCCTGTCGCAGCCAAAGGGCTCGCAGCTGTGGGCACCGTGCCTTTGATCACAACACATTGATCTGCTGGAAACGGTCTGAGAAGTAGTTTAACAGTTTGAACAGCCCAGGTGCAACCAGCATCTGCACACCAGAGTCCTAACATGTCACAACATCGCAGGACCATCAGACAAATCTGATGACAATCCGTTGTCCTCCAAGGATGGCCAGGCATCGACCGAAAACTCACGTAGCCGGGCACAGCGCAAACCCTGGCACCAGCCTCTGGCACTGCTCCAATTATGATTCTTGGTGACTGAACTCAAACACTTGCGCAAAAGAATCAGAATGCAAGACAACAATATTATGTGCTGTCCTTTAATTGACGTTGCAGGCACATGTCGCTATCCAGGGCATCTATACAAAATTTGTAAATAGCGGCACCCGAAAACCTACGAAAGATCGAAGGAAGCGGAATGCGCACACTATTTGCTACCGTTGGAGCCAAATGCTCAAGGCCTGTCCGGCCGCCGTGAAACACATCCAAAGGCCAAACATGCTCATTCACATGCCTTCTATTTTATGTGGCCTTTGGATCCGCACAAGTGAAAAAGGATACCAGCCTTTGGCATCGATCTTCCATCTTCGCCTGGAGGTTTGCCATCTTCTTCAGGTCGGCTTTCTCCTCAAGGATCCTCCACTCGTGCTGGCCATCACTCCTCTTGTAGCAGGCAACCGAAGTCCGGTACTGATGCTTGTTCACATCAAACCGGGGAGCTGGGCTTCGGTAACTCATCGCTCCATGGGCCACGTGGATGGGAGTTCCATCTTTGTAGTGCCACCCATTCTGCTCTGCCACCATGAGGACGTGCTCCATCAAGGACTTGTCTCTGTCCTGAACTGCCCGTCCGGGCATCTCAACAACAGCCACCGCTGTCTTCACAGCCTTCTTGGTCTGTTTGGTGAAACTCTCGTTGTACTCGATTGACCACTCTCCCTTCTGCAATGTCTCTCGCAGCGCTGAGTTGTCCATCAGCTTCGTGCCAGCATCCACAAAGAGGTTTGTGGTGCTTGTCCACCTGTAGCCAGTACATGGCCGTCGTAGTTGTTGACGAAGAGCTGCAAGGCTGAAAGCAAGGCTTTTCTGCGAGCCAAACCCAGTGTCTTGTGTAAGACGATCATAGGTATCTTTCGCATCGGTGACTCCGATGAGGCTCACAGCGCAGACATTGAAATGTCCTGTTCGACATGCGATGTCGATTTTGCGCAGCTCGGCTATGAAGCCGCGACACAGTTCTCCTGCGTCTAGACCTTCTTCAGCGCCAAGCGTTTCTGCCGCGTAGGAACTGCGACACACTCTCTGAAGTCGGTGACTCCTGAAGTCGAGCAGGTTGAAGCTGCCAGGCTTTCCCAACATCATCTGCTCGTCTGCCAGCAACACTGCGTAGCATGACTGGGAGTGCACCTTCTCGGTCGGCATGGCGTCCGTGCAACCATTGGCGGTCACATTGCCGAGTGCGGCATCGGTCACAACCATGATGCCACCATGGGTGTAGCTGACCGGCTTGAACTGCAAGGTGAAGTCCTTGGTCCTCTTGGCCTCCTCGACCACCTTGTTCACTCGAAGCACTGTGCCAACTGTCGGTCGCTCTGACTGAAGACTGCTTACAGAGAAAGAGAGGTCGAATCTCAGCTGTGCAACAAGCCACTGCAAGGCTCCTAAAACACCTTTGAGCTTCCTCACTTCTGCGGCATTCAGCAAGCTTGCCACATCTTTGCGCCTTTGTCGAGGCATCTGCATTCCAGTGAGGTTCTCGTGGTACCTTACCATGGTCAAAGTGACTCTTCCGTCAGGTTCACGAGTGAAGGTTTTGCCACACCAGCTGAATGGCGGAGCATCCATGGATCCAAAACCGATCCTTTCTCCCAACCGGCTCAGCGAAGCTTCAGCCTCCTTGTCACCACTCATGAGCAAGTCGTCGACATGAGCTGCCAAGATGCCTGTCAAAGCACCTGTTGTGTCAAACCTCAGCCACAATGCCAAGTCCAAGCTCGAGCGAACCCAGCCATCCTCACCAAGCTCTCGAGCCAGCCGCAAGTACCACTCTCTTGGGGCATCAGCTAGGCCAAAAATGCCTTTGAGAACTTTGGCAACGCAACCAGTCGGAATCCCAATCGTCGGACCTGTCTTGGGGTTGGTCCCACGGATGTACAGCTGTCTCTGCACGTAGGGATCTCCTTTGAGGAAAGCTGCTCTGACATCAGCGCTCAACAAACACCAGTCAGGGTTCGAGGCACAAACACAACACACCACATGCTGTGCTATCCTTGAAGCTGTCGGTGAGTCAGTTCGAAGTTCACCATTCAGGTTGGCAAGATCACGAAATCCTGGGACGATGATTCGTGCATTGGCCTTCAAAGGAAGCGGGCACTCTGGAGAGCGAAGCTTGGAGTTCTTGTCCACCAAGATGAAGCGGGGGTTCATAATCCGCTCAAGCTCGCCTTTCATCTCCAGCTCCTGTTCTACTGCTCTGGATTCCTCAGGGTTCAAGACAGTCACAGCCTCATTTTCCAGCCACTTGTTCCACTGGTCAGCCGCTGCAACGCGGAAGGCCTGTCTTGTGTCTTCGTCCATCTCTGACCATTTGAGTTCACGTCCGTGAGCAGCAGTAGTCAAAGCCTCCTTGGTGTCACTGTTGGAACCACTAGGCCATGTCATCTGAAGCTTCTTGACGATCTCAACCTGTCGTGCGGTCGGGCGAGACCATCTTCCATCCCAGCTGCCGTGATCATCTTCTCCATGATGTCCGTTCTCTATGTCCTCCTGGGCTTTGTTGACTGCCTCAAGAAGTGGATGTCTCAGCTCTGCTGAGAGGACATCGATCGCTTTGCCACCAAGTCGAAGCGGCTCCATGATCCTCCTCCGAACGGCCTGTCTGTCGTCCGTTGGCTCGGACAGTGCTCTTCTCACAGCACCTTGTGCTTGCTCCAGCCGCCGTCCATATTCTGCAGGCGTCTCTCCTGCAGGGACTCCAGGTTGTAGTTCAGCTGCAGCTGCACCACCATCCGCGACTGGAAGAACTTGTGCATGATGAAGTCCATCATCCGCTGCCTGTTGAGGTAGAAGAGGTTGTAGGTCATGACCAGCTGCTCCTTGGTCGGAAGTCGGATCTCCTCCAAGAAGTCCAGGTCGTTGACCATCAGGCTCTGGTGAAGCGTCCTCACCAACCGTAGGCAAAGGTACACCAGCCTGTTCTGTTGACTGTCTCCTTGATGCCAATCTCGAAGGAAGCGATGAAAAGCTCGAACAAGGGGCACTTTGCACCAAAGCAGGCATCATCGCTGGGTAAGGGAAAGGATAAACCACCGCAGGCGTAGGTGTCTGCTCAAGAAGCTCAGGCTGAACTTCTGGAGGCTCCTCCGGCGGCTCTGTTGGCTCATAGCTCTCCTCACCAATTCCAAGTCCTTCTTGTTGGTCATCAGGGCGTTTGTCATCCACAGCGTTGATGACATCCTCAACTATTGCATCCCAATCTGTGGCAACGAGTCTTTCCAAAGCACTTGCATGACGAAGGTGTTCCATGGCAACCTTGGTCACATTGCCACAGTAGGCAACATACCCAGCATTGGGCATCTCTTTGCCTTCCAAAGACAAAAGAACTCCAGGACCGTGCCACTTCTTCAACTCCAGCCGTCTTCTCTGCACGATCTTCATCTTCTTGCTTGTGGGCTTCTGCTCACGGTAGAAGTAGACCACGTCTCCAACAGAAAACTGGTTCCAATCCACCTGGTTGCGAGCACGTGCAACTGAAGCGCTCATCAAAGCTCGGCTGTAGTGAAGTCGTACCATGGCCAGCTTAGCCACTTCTCTCATCGCCACCAAGCGTGAGAACGAGGGGGTCTCCAAGGCCATGCTGTGAGCAGCAAGTCGGGTTCGAAGGTCAGAAGGACCAGCTTCTCCAACAAGTCGAGGTTGTCGTCCAAGAACCATCTGACTCGGAGAGAACCCTGTGCCATCCACGTCGTTGTTGACGGCCTCCAGAGCTGAAGCCAGGGCGGTCCGCATGTCATCCATGCCAGCTGCCACCGCCTCATGGATTGTGGCCCGGAGAACTGCCTTCAGTGAGCCTCCGGCTCTCTCTGCTATGCCGTTTTGCCATGGCGCGCCCACCGGCACATGGTGCAAAACCACGTCGTGCATGTCCATGGTGTGCTGAACCACTGCCGCCGTAAACTCTCTGCCAAGATCAGTGGTGATCTGTGAGGGGATGCCGAGGGTATTGAACCAACACTCCTGGAAGAACTTGATGACTTCCAGCCCGCTCTTCTCTTCCAGCACCTTGGCAACTTGGTACCTGGAAGCGGCATCAACGGCATGAGCAATCCAGTATGTCTCACCATGGCTGTCATGGACGGAGATCAGGTCGGCATAGAGGTGGTCGTTGAAGTTCCTGACTCGAGGCAAGCTAGCTGGCCTTCTGGTTCCAGGCCGCTTGGTCTCATGACAGATCTCGCACTTATGCTCCTTTGCAGCCTTGATCAACATCGGATCTGCCCCTGTGATCAGCAAAGCTCGAGCCAGGCGAAGTGGTGGTCGATGGCCTGTCACCTCATGAAGATGCTTTGCCATCTTGCGATCACCTGCTGTGGGCTTGTCATCACCAGACACCACCACATCGTCATCCTCATCTTCCTGCTCGGCCGGGTTGTCCAGCATGAAGTGGTCCCCATTGCCATCATGGTCGTCTCCATCATGGCCATCCGGTTCATCTGAAGGTCCGGGGGGTCCTCCATCATCTTCACCACCATCATCTCCACCGCCTGGGTTCTCGTCGTCCAACTCCTCAATGACATTGATCTCAAGCATTGACCATTCTCGCTCGATGCCTTCAAGCAGAGTTTCAGCGAGAAGGGGTGGATAGTGACCTGCAAGGCGTGTCACCTTGTTGCCACCAATCACTGCTTCATGGTGATGTCGTCGGTCGCACCTGAACCCATCCAAAGCTGCTGCAACCTCCTTCGAAGACGTGAGGAAGGTGGTCGGCTTGTAGTGAAGTCCTCCTCCAGCTCCTCGCAACCCGAAAGCACATTGGTCGACTCGGACGTGGTAGAGGTCCAGGTCCTTCGCATTCTCAACCAGCTTGCGAAGCTTGCCAACCAATCTCCAGGCCGCTGAAGTCGCCGGGTTCTCCAGGATGAAGTGGTTCCCGGAGAGGACCTGTTCCACAGCCTTCATCGCAGCATATTCCACCAAGATCCTCTCATACTTCCTCCTCTTGGCAAGTCGGGCTATCTTCACTGGGTCACCTCTTGTCGTCATGTTGATGAGGTTGGACCAGACACTGCAAGGAAAGGCGATCATCAGGCAGAAAGGTCTGTTGTTCCTGATGTCCATGTTTGCCCTTCTGCGATCACTGACCTTCAGCAAGTCGTAGCCAGTCTTCAGGGTGATAGACTGCATGATCGCATGACCTTTCCGAATCGCACAGGCCGACACCGGTTCAGTCTCCGTGTAGAGCTCTCCAATCATGGGGTACCGGTGAGGATCTTCTCGAAGAGTGTTGTGATGAAGCTGCACGTAGACCTCCACCGACTTGATCAAGCTTCCATGAGGTACTCGATGAACAGCTCGGTCTCGATGAAGTACCTTTTCTTCCAGCATCATCCAACCATCCTCAGCGGTGCGAATCCATGAAGAGATCGGCACTGTGCTATCCACAGGAAGCATGCCCTTCTGGTTCATGGTGTCGAAACCAACGAAGAACTTGTCACCATTCTGACAATCATGAGAGCCTTGTTGTCCAAGCATGACTGCAGTCCTTATCGGAAAGCTGAACTGCTCCCATGACCATGGTGGATACGCATGTTCAATCCACTCTTGCTTGACCTCAAGCCAGGTCTCTCCTTGAACTGCCACTTGACTGTGAACATGACTCTGAGTGTTCCAGCTGTCCTTGAAGTTGTCATTCCGGACAAAGTTGATGTTGCCCTCCTCATCGCAGAACACGGATCTTCGCAGACCAGTGAATGCCTCATTGGGAAAGAACCTGGGCACAGTCGCCGTCGACGGGTGGAAGAGGATCCTCCTGGGGCAGTAGTGGTCTCTGCAGATCCATCCATTGATGTGGCCAAAACGCCACTCATCAGTCAACCGTCGATGAAGTCGGCTTGGTCGTTGAAGTTGTTCTCGAAGTCCTGAGATGGGCAAGCGAATGCAGTCAAACCGACTGGCAGGCAGAGGCGGCATGTGGAGGTCCGCCATGAACACTTCGGCCTCCTGACCACTGGCCACCTTGTCGATGAAGTCGACGTACTCTGCCTCCATGATCTCATTGAGATAGCTAACTGGAGCACCCATCTTATCTCTCATCCGTCTGGCCTTCATGACGCCATCTCGAACTGCCAGGCGTGCACCACTCTTCAAGTCCTTGAAGGCTGCTTTCCCCAGGGTGCCAACTGAAAGCTTCACAGCATCTGATCGTCTGTCTCGTTCAGCTGGTAGAACTGAGGAGTGAGTACCCAACCTTCCTGAACTGAACGGGTCTGGGGGTTGAAGTGGTCGAAGTGGACCTGCCCATCCGGGTTCATTGGGAGTCCCCAAGGTACTTGGAGATGACTCAAAGTTGGGGCTTGTGCAGTTGGTCCTGTTGGTGCTGATACTTCCATCGCTTTCGAGCCAGTCATTGGTCCTTTGAGGTCGCTGCCTTCTGCGGATCCTTTGGATCTCTCTGGGCTCGAGCCAAAACCTTTCCCCATCAGAACGTCCACCATCGGCTTGCACTTGGCCTTCAACTGGTCGTTGGTGTCCTTGGGGTCCACGGTCACGTTCAGGAGAACCGCCAGCTTGACTAGGTCTGCCTTGTTGCGAGGCATCCCGCCTCGGGGTCCGAGAAGCTCTCTGGCGAGTTCTTCCTTCCGGCCATCCAGCTCTGCGATTGCTTGGTGCGTAGCCTGAACTAGTGCAGCTTGCTTCCGAGCACGGGGAGGTTTCTTCAGTGCCTTGATCCCGAACATCACGGCCTCGTCTTCCATGAACGCCTCCTCCAAGCCCATGCGGTTGCGGAGCGTCTGAGCCTCTTGAAGGTGCAGAAGACTCATCACCTCCTGGGCCTTCGGCAACCATCGCTTCGGCCACACCTTGCGTCGCACCATGTCCTTGAGCTGGGTCTTCCACTCCTCCGCATTCGCGACCACCGGCAAGGGCACGGGCAGGAAGCGCAGGAATGGACGTTGCACCAACCACAGCATCACTCCCTTCCAATGCCAAGTCCTCCTGGCAGCCATCCGCAGCAGAAGACGTTGCCATCGCGAAGCGGTCGGGGAGATCTCGAAGAGATTGGGCATCATCTTCGAGCTGCCAGGACGAGCTTGAGCTGAAGAACTCCGGGATGTAGTGCACAACCATGTTCAAGTCACCATCAACGTCAGTCGAACGATCAACTAGTCGATTGTGTGCCTTCCATGCGACTCGACCTTCACATTGAACCTCACAGCAACCTCCGACACCTACGACATGCCATGCGAGAGGTCCAAGCGTCGGCCACGAGGTCAAGGGTTTTGGGAGGAGGTTCAAAGAAAAATGACCTGCTTTCATCTTGCTCAGGGGTGTCCATTCTTCAGTGAGGTACTTCAACTGGAGTTTCTTTGAAGAGAAGTTCAAAGTAGCCCCCAAGCTCTCGAGGAAGTCCTTCCCCAGCAGGCAACCTAGTGAATCGCAAGGAATGGCGGCTAGCCAAAGAAGCACTACTTGGTTTTTCACGACAATCGGCAGCCTGATGCGCTTCTGACTCTCTAAGATTCCGCCATTGCCGAATCTGAAGTAGTCTCTCACCGGCTTCTCCATGATCAGGTTCTTGATCGCAGGAGGCGCATGGTTCAGCGCTGCCTTCATGGTCTTGATCCATTCTTCACCAGCACAGCTCCTGTTGCATGCAGAGTCAAGAGCTGCAACGTACATCTTGTCCAAGCTCAGCTCCGGAGGTCCAGCTGCACTTGCTGTCAAAGCCTCCGAGAGCGTTGAAACCACGTTGATCTCATGGACCGTCGGCTCCAGGTCGAAGGACACGTTGTTGTTTGCACCCTCCAGGAGGTCGACCACGTTCACCTCCGCTGCATTGGCCTCATTGCGGTAGGTCGAAGACTTGGGAGAGGTAGTCGACGATGAAGCTCCTGTCTTGTGCATGGGTTTGGGAAACTTCGGAAGTTGTTTCCCTTTGGCTGAGCTCTTGCCACCAGCAGGACATTCTGGGTCTCCCTGCCAGTGACCAGTCTGGCCACACGCAAAGCACTTGCCGTCCTTTGCACCCGTTGAGCCTTTTTTTTCCACGGCCCTTTCCACCTTTGAAGCTCGAAGTTCCAGGTCCACGAAATCCACGATCTCTCTTCAAGGCATTGATTTGTGACCTCGCTTCACGAAGGGTCACCAATGCTTCCACAGCTCCTTCAACTTGTTCCTCAATGGCCGCCAGGTCATCATCAGCCTGTGAACCATCAGCCAACTCATCCAGCTCCGTCGCCATGGCCTCAAGGGTTTGTTGAAGCCCCTCAAAGCCGCCAAGACTCTCAGAGTCTCCACCACCATCGTCTTCACCTTCGGCAGGGTGTTCTTCTGCTTCAAAGGCCTCATACTCAGGCGGGTCCTCGTCCTCATACTCCGTGACATTGACTGAGCCGCCAAAGCCTTTTCCGCCGCCACGCCGCCATGTAGAGCTTGAAGACGAAGTAGTTGAGGGAAAGCTCTTCCGGAACCGGGACAAGGTAGAAGACGTCAAGGAAGTAGGTCGCTTAGCGAAGTTTCCATGACCGCCATGTTGTGGTCCTCCATGTCCAGGTCCATGCCCATGTCCAAAATGGACTCGCTTGAAGAGGCGAACAGCCTCCCTCTCACAGGCACCGTAGTCCTCCGTCTCTACCCCCAAAGTCGTCTCCAGCATCTGCCGCTGCAACTCTGTGAGGGCGAGCTTCTGCTTGAAGAACCATGCCTGCTCGCTGGGGTCCACCATGATGCCTTCGGCCTTCATCTCTCCAACCAGCGTTCTATACCGAAGTGCAAAGTTCGGTATGCTTTCACTACCTCCACGGCGAAGCTGAAGGTAGTACTTCTCACGAAGCTCACCTTTGCGGTCAGTCTGTGACCTCCCAACCATGTCATCCCAGGAGGCCAGGATCTTCTGGATTCCAGCGTCGTAGACCGCAGGTGTCAACTCAACCATCTCATCAGTCTCATCATCCTTCACCTTCTCGGCGGGGATGTACTCGAGCTCTTTTGGATCAAACTCCAAAGCTCTCAACTTTGCGCTGCCCTTCTGCCGCATAGCAAACCTTGCGGCCAAGTTGTAGGAGGTGGTCTTCTCCAGGTCGATCGAGTGCAACCACCATTGGACGGCCTTCTTGAACTCTCTGAGGGTCTCGCTTCTGCCGTCCCAGACCGGTATGTAGCTATCGAAGCCCCGGTCATCCTTCTTCTCGTCCGTCATGAGCTCCACGAGGATGTAGTCCACCACCAGGCAACCTTCTATCCCTTGGCCGAGGGAGAGGCTTTACGCCGCCAAGGAAGTCCGTCAGAGTGACCTCCGTGAAAAAGTTCGGTCGTAGTCCACCGTCAGGGCGAAGTCGTCCACAAGGGCAAAGAAGTCCACCGAGAAGACGTAGTCCCAGGTCAATGACCTCAAGCCAAGGCCAAAGACCAGCAAGTCGAAGTCGTAGGACTGGCGTAGTCCAAAGAAGCGCCACCACCAAGCGAAGCCAAGCGAAGTCGCGCACGGGCCCACGGAACCTGAGGCTCCGCTGCCACTGTAAATAGCGGCACCCGAAAACCTACGAAAGATCGAAGGAAGCGGAATGCGCACACTATTTGCTACCGTTGGAGCCAAATGCTCAAGGCCTGTCCGGCCGCCGTGAAACACATCCAAAGGCCAAACATGCTCATTCACAAAATTAGATGAATATCGCCAAGCTGCGATTGGCCCCAGCAACTCCGAGCCTCCTCTCAGACCTCAAGTGCAACTGGGACCAGTGCCTCAAAACATCCCCGCAAGTCCGTCTGTCCTAAGGCAAGCTGTGACTGGTATTAACGATAAAAGTCTAAAAACCAAACATGTTAAACATGCCGCGTCTTTTCGAGGAACCAGTTACAGTCACGTCGCAGTATCCCACATCGAATCGTTTTTTAAGCGCTACGCGTGTCCATTGGCTGGGGAAAACAATGATCCAAAACAATGATCCGAGGACGATTGCTTTGATGCAAAAGAAGCGCCGGGATGCCCACTGTCCAACGATGATCGTTGGAAGCCTGATTGACTCGAGGCCTTGGCAGCAAAGGCGTTTGAATGGATATCTACAGGCCTACAGGGAGACAAGTCCACAAAATGCAACCCAATTCCGCTCGGAAGCATCGGGAAAAGTAGTGGCTGATGAAAATCATAAGCTCCCAACCTTCACAAAGATGTAACAAGCCAAAAACACTTTCACCACCTCGCAACGAAGCAAAGCAAAGCAATGCTCACAAAATCCAGCACCAGTAGAACGACGACCACACGCATTAATATGTATAACATCTATATACTGTAACTATAATGGTTCTCAACATTCTCAACGTTATATACAAAGAAATTCTGCTTTGCAAAACCTGCGTCTTGTTCCAAAACCAAGCTGGCATGTCATCACCAAGCAGCACATCGGGCGGCAACCGCTGAAGTGCAGCAGGCGCAAGCGAAAGTGGTGCCGACCTTCGTGGAAAGCAAAGGGCGATAGCGGCAATGGGCAAATAAAGGAAACAGTGCAAGTTTCGGAAAGGAGTGCACTGGACAGAAACTTCCGTCAAGGATTGGACAGCAGAAACCAACCACTCTGTTTTGGGGGCAGGGGAAGTCTGGCGGCATCCTGAGGCCCTGGACGCAGGAACCAAAAGCAGCGATCACTCAAGAGCTTCTGCCCATCAACCCGCAGTTCTCGCAAATGTCTCATCTGACCCAGGATGCCAAACCTCAGAGAGAGGGTCAATGACTTGAATTCTTTTCGGCATTGGGAGGTGGGACCTGGCCGTTCAGCCCTCCTACCGTCCTTGCAATTCACGCCGTTCCTCGGGTTCTTGCATGTCATCCGTCAGCCAGGCTCGGTTCTTGTGAGCACGACCATAGTGAACTCGAAAGTCCACACATCTAAGCCTAGGCCATGCAACAAAAGACTGAATGAAACAGAAGAATTCTCAATGTCCAGCTAGTTGAGAGCAAACAGGCAAAGTGCCTGCATATATAAGTCACCTAAACATCAACAAAAATTGTGCAAAATGTTGGTTAGAGCCGGATTCTAATACTAATCGGTCGGATTCTGATCTGAAACCGGCTTCTGAAACTGCGATCTGAAACTGGAAAATCATGAATCAAGGTAGTTGTGGAATCCGAGCTACAGAAACAAGACAGTTGCCGAACTGGGGTAGTTGCGGAGTCTGACTATAATAAGTTGCGGAATCCTAGTTGCAGAATCCTGTGCACGTGCGGAATCCGACTCTATCCCAGCATGTTGCTGAGCATTTCCTTTGAAGAGATGTGTGGTGGCATCTTGGCGCGGAGGTGCACACAGCTTAGGCACGTGCTTGAGGCGCGCCAGTGGCACCAGTGGCGGAGGGTTCAGAGGCCCACCGACTTCTATGAAGCTTTGCGGCCTCGCTATGACAGCTGGTGCCAAACTCTTTGCAATGCTGCTCGGCAATGCCTTTGATAAAAAAGAAGTTTGCGGATCGAAAAGCTTTAAACAGGCTCAGTCTCTGTTCGGCCAAGAAGCTGCAATCTTGAAACCCCACATTCCAAATCACCCATAGTTCACGCTTCGAATTCAAACGCTGTGACCAAAGGTTCGGTTTGCTAAGGATCTCACAGCCTTAGATGCTGCAACATCTTTGCGCTCTTGCACAACGCCTGAGACAAGGTTCACAGATTGGCACCTAAACAACCAACTTTGAAGCCTGTTTCGGTAGACTTGCTTGTTGGTGCCTCAATGTCTTTCCAGGTGGTATTGCATCGTCCCACAGTGAGCTCTCGGAGAGAACAAGTCTTTGGGAGCTCCTGTGCAAAAGCTCAGAGGAAAGACGATGAGATGTAAAGTCTTGGGTCGAAGTCTTTTGCTGAAAAATAACTTCAAACAAAGGAAAGGCAATAAAAAAGAATTTTTATGTATATAGATTGTTGCAGGGCCATCAGTCAAAGCAGGGCACCTCCGACAAGTACTGCAATGACACAAGGTGATCCGCATTGCTGCTAAGAGAGAGTACCTCAGTCAATGGTGAGCCTGGTGAGCGCCTGGTGAGCCGGCCTCATCGATCCACTCACTGAGCCAAGAGCCCGAAGCTGCTTGCACGCCTGCAAGACCTTCAAATGAGATACATTCGGATACACAGTAATTACATGGTTCTCCGATGTCCACATCGTAAAAACACACCAGACAGGCGCCTGTCTGAGGTTCGTGATGTTGGGAACAAGGGTCAGGCCAAGCCTGGTAAGCACTCTCCAGCAAATCATGCACATGCCCTAGGTTTCAGGGAAAAATGGTTGGAAGGCAACCGTAGCCTTTCTCCATCATACTACACCAGCGGTTTTCTTGCAATTGGTCGATGCCCTCCACAGCAACACATCGCAGAATACCAGGATGGAACTCTTTCAGTCATTGCAAGACCTTTCTCCAAGCTTGTGCAAGTTTATCACACAAGCCAATCCTCGTTTGCTCAAGTTGCTCTCAATCCGTTTCACGCAAAAGCAATGGAGGGAGGGAAAAAGACTGAGAATAAGAATTCATGGGAGTCCCGATTTGCCTATGATGGTGACAACTTCATAATATTATCATGGCTCATGCCACTGGGTCGCAGGCTTTAGGGCACGGAGCTTAGTGCAGTGCATCAGGCCAGCACACACGTGGCTTGCCTCAATTAGGCTGTTTGGACACCATCATGCATGCTCACCAACCCGTTCTGGTTCTCTCTCGCCGTGCCATCCCCCTTTCCAAAGAAAGACAGGCCACAAGACCAGGCTCTGCCACCTCTACCAGGCGCAGCTCAAGGCAGCGGCGCAGCACTTGCCGCAAGGCCTGCCGACGCGCGAGACCTCAAAAGCCTTCTCCAAGACGTGTTTTCGGGTGAGACGATGGACCAACAACACCTTGAAGTGAAGGCGGCAGGCGGTTACAAATTCACCTCAAATTCACCTCCAGGAAGTCGCCAGGCCGGATGCCTTCGTCAGAGCCGGAGCCTGTTGAGTCCCTTCGTCTGGCGCCTTCTTTTGGCAAGTTTGCAGTGTGACGGGGCCCAAAGGCCGCACGTGAATTATCGGTGAGACGCCTCATGACCAGCCAACAGGAACCACGGATCACCACGGCTATGACGCCTGAGTGAACATTCTGGCTTCTTAGGGTTTAGATTGATTCTGAATTCACGTGAATCAAGATGCATGTGCGTCATGCATGGATATGGGGGTCCTCATATGGAGCCAATGGGTCAAAGCGAGATGACTCAACCCACAAAGAGCAAGAAGAACGTTCAATGAAGCCTGAGGAGGAACATAACCAAGGTCAGCAAATCAACGACATCAGGTAAGTAGTTAGCGTTGCTAGCGGCTACCTGACTACCGGCCTTGCTGTGATCGAGCCATATATAATATATGTATATATATATATAATGATGTTTGTCATACCCTCAATGAAAAAAAACGGGACGTGATCACCCCACACAGAGCAAAAGGACATAACACCTGAATGATTCATCGCCCTGTTTTTTTGAATACAAGCTCCTCAACCAGCTTTACAAGTGGGAATCATGGCCGTTCCGTTGCAACATCTGCTGCAGTTCATCCGGCTGGGAGGCAAGCCAGTCGCATCGAACCCTTCAGCCGTGCGTCTCAATTCTAACAGGTCCAATAAAGTACCATCCGCTGTGATGCTGCTGCAATGGTGCTGCGATGAATGGTGCTGTTCATCTGTGCCTGTCCGCTTGGACACTCTCATGGTTCGAAGGTCTGACTCTTTCTGTCTAAACTTAGAGGGCTTGCTGCCTTGCCACACAGCAGGCAAACGCTTCGGACTCTAAGTTTTGTGCAATTCGTGGGCAAAGCAGCGGGGCATCCCATTTCAGTAGATTCGTAGATTATTCTGTCTAAAGCCCTCTTCGGAGCTTTTCCGTACTGCAGATTCTGATTCGTGTCCCAGACTGAGGAACACCGCGCGTGATGCTTTCTGAATGTTGGCATGTTCCCCAGCAAGTCCAGAGAAAAATGAAAACACATAAAGGGCCTCGGCGAAACAATCATGTTCGATCGCACTTCCCCCCTAAGCAGCCCATGTGGCAACATGTGACCCCGTGGGCTCGGAATGAAAGCCATCAAAGCCATCGATGCCATCAGTGCCACTTGTCTATTCAAATAATGAGGGGTCCGAGGGGTCCTTGGGCCTTGGGGTCCTTTCAAAGGAGCACATCTCACACTTCATAGATCGTCTCTGAATCTGCACATCATAGATCGTTATGGCAAAGTCTCTGCCGTGAAATCACCGCGCCATGCGCAGAACACTTCACTCTAGCTGAGTTTTGTTGCTCACGCCTAGCTGATTTCAAATGTCACCGTCGAATTTCTCGGCCAAACTCAGCATGAGCTTGTGGTTAGGCGGTGCTTGTTTCTCACCACCTTGAGCCTTGAGCTAATCCATGCCCGCACTAAGTGAAGGCAAGCCCAGGAACCTTGCTTGCAACCAAGCGTGTTTGCGCATCTCATGCTTTCCATGAGTGCGAACGCCGACAAGGCGGGGCTTCGTCTGGCATGCGCAGGCTAGGCCACGTAACTGGTGATTCATCAACACATCAAAAAGAGGTCGCCCTACAAGGCTACTGTATATCCGGTCAAGCTGCTGTTTTATGCCTGCAAGAGGTGGCCCAGGGCCGAAGGAAAAATTTTCTCACATGTTCCAGAAGTTTGGGCATCGTAGGTTCTGCTTTGAAATCCCTGCATGACTGATGCAGTGTCAGATACATTGGACTCTATCCGTGCAGCGATCATGCGGAAAACCTTTCAGGAGTGCGGTCGTACACTACGGACGAAGAATCCCGGATCCTGCTTCGATTGCCACAGACTTCTGGAGCGAAACCATCCGGACACCATCAAGGTTCCTCACTGGCTCCAATGACCTGCCCGGTCACGAGGTCTGTCCGGCACAGTGGGCAATTCCGGTTGACATTGAGCCAACCCTTGAGACCTTGGTGAGCCATGTTGAGCGCGAAAACCCAAACAAGCAGCATGGATCCCGTGTCTAAGTGCCACATCACACGTTAGTGCAGCCAAGGGGCAGGCTGTGTGGTAGCAATGCCCACATGCTGTCTTGCGAATTTCTTTCTGTGCGCTCCAGTCCTCTAAACAAATTGAGCAAGAAGGATTGTCACCTCAGCTGAGGCGGTGATTTTTGGTGAAAGACACCAATGTGAGCGCAAGCTGAGGGCAATGCCGAAATCGTATTGGCCAAAATGGACAACCTCCTGTTTTTCTATCGTGCCCTTTGGGGCAGCATTTTCCTTGGCACGTTAAGGGGCTCAAGATGGCCAAAGTACGTGGCGTAGGACAGACTCAAAGCACTAAGCAGTCCATTCAAGACAAGGATCTGCTGAATGCAACATTCCGTGCCTCATCATGTAAGCCAGGATTACCTGCAAGCCCACTGCATTGATGAGGAACCAAACTGCGATGAAGAGTCCGCAGCCTCAAAACCCAAAATGGAAGCATTGATGGCTCGTTGGCTCAACAGAACTCGTTGCAATTGCGTTTAGGCTGAATTTCTTCACACCGTTTTTTCTTTTTTCTCACCCGTGGCCCTACCTCCTTACTTAATTAAGTAGGCGCCTACTCAATTAAGTAAGGGAGTAAGCTCGTAGCTACTTAAGCTTCTAGTAACCGGACGCAGGATAATTTGGTTTCTCTCGCTCATGTCCGCTTTGCTAGGGGCCCCACTTGCAAAAGCCAGAATTGAGTGGTAAACGTCTGGCATCACTGCTGCACAAGTTTTCGAAGTGCCCGCTAAGACGATGCCAGTGATATTCCATACGAAATCGAAGGTTGGGAACAGCCTGGGAAACGAGCGTGACGAATTGCCACTCAACACAAGACTAGTTTCTCAACAATGATCACATGGCTACACTCCCTGAAATAGTTATATATGGAAGTGGAAAATGGCCTCCTTGGATGCCCATTTTCCTCTGCAAAGAGGTGGTTTTCCACTTCCACAAGTAATTCATGGAGTGTACATCTATGTAAACGGTGTCATTGTCATTGTGCCAAAGGACAGATTGTACAGCTTCACATACCAAGGTGGCGGTGACGACGGGTTCTCCCGCGCATCGTATTTGCAAACGCAACGGATAACCATTCTGTGCAGGAAGAACCTCAGTACTGCAACAACGTTTCTGCCAAGAAGACTGAGAATGCTGCTGACAAGGTGCATGTAGACCTTAATGATATACCTTAAGCGGGCCAAAGGCTGTACAACAAACGCTGCAAGGTGCAACGGTTGATTGGTTGATTCACGCATCCAAGGTACACCACGGTCACCCATTCAAGAAGTGGTGAATCACAGGTCAACTGTTGGTTCCTGCAAGTGTGCAAATTTTGGTGCTCCTTTACATTGCTGCACAATGCCGTCATGAAAGCTAGGCTATGGCTACCATGACGCAGCAGCAACTAGAAGTGTGACAAAGACATACGCAGGCCACTATATGCGTAAACAATGTGCAATTTGCAAAAAAGTGCCCCGCCTAGCATTGGCCCAGCCTTTGTTAAGAATGAGTCAGGAAAGTGTGATGCTGATGCCGGAACATGGGGTGGTATCTGCTGGGTTCCCAGACTGATGATCAGCCATATCAAGAGCCCAAAGGATGTGATGCCGACCACGCAAAGCGTGCACATGAAGCAAAGAACCCATCGGACAATATGGGACCTGCCGGCGAAGTCCAAAGCGGCCAGGAAAAAATGCTGTTTCCTTCACGCGCCAAATTGATGGAACTGACCTCGCAGCCCAATGGCCTCAGCTCTTCGGCAATTCGGGCCTGCACTTCCAAGGCGTCCACTTGCCTCAGCCAAGCAAGCTGAGGGGCCCTCACCTCCCTGTGACTGGTGCTGTGGGCACAGACTTCAGAACAGGCAAGGAGCTGGTTGGTCATCCCACGAGCTAAAAGATCATCTCGGTCTAATTGGGCCGGACCACCTGAACAGTCGATCGTCTCGGAATCTGGATCAGTCGATGAGGAAACTTCAGCAAGTCTGCACTCAGCCAGCGGCCAACGATGCGATCTGCAAGGGAATTGTTCGAAGAACCACCTCAACAGTTGTAGGCTGGCTGCGACGGATTTTTTTTGGAGCTGACCTTTTGGGGATTCCTTATCAATGGCTCCACATGCGTCGTGCAGGTGTCACTAAGTGTTCAATTGGAGGGCACTAGATGTGCATACAACTGAGAAGGGAGGGGGCGAAAGCCAACCTCCAAAACGCATGGGGAAGTAGAAGGCAAAGAGGCGCAAAGTCTCGCATTGAGGGTCGGTATGATAGGTTCTTAATACACAAGGCCTGATCAAGGCCCATGCGTGGAGCCCGTGCGTTAGGAGAAAGAGGCCGTGTTTTAAACTCGACAAGGTTCCTTTTAGATTATTTGTCCGATTTTGTTGTTTCTTTCTTATTTGATGTGTATTTTTTCATATCCGCGTTTATTCAGTCCTTTTCAGGCATGTGTTATATATCTTCTTTAGGCCTTTTCAGACGCGTTTGGTCAAAAGTCCCTCGAACGGAAGGCTAAACAAAAAAGAACAACGCACAAGCAGAAGGCAAAAACCCGTCAAAAAACCGTCGTTTAAAAACCGTCGAGCGGAAGGCTAAAGAGGAGCACAACTCACAAGCAGAAAGCAAAAAACATGAAAAAACCGTACAATACCATTCAAAGTCCCTCAAAAACTGACAAAAATCCGTGAAACGGAAGGGTAAAGAGGAGCACAACTCACAAGCAGAAGGCAAAAACCCGTTAAGACCGTCAGAAACCGTTGAAAAACCGTCAAAAAACCATCGAACGGAAGGCTAAAGAGGAGCACAATTCACAAGCAGAAGGCAAAAAAACATCAAAAAAAACGTCAAGCACCAATTAAAAAGCTGTCTAAAACAGTGCAAAATCCGTCGACCGGAAGGCTAAAGAGTCACCAGCAGAAGGCAAAAACCTATTTAAAAAACAAAAAACGCTCAAAAACCGTCAAAAAACCACTGAACGGAAGGCTAAAGAGGAGCAAAATTCACAAGCAGAAGGCAAAAAAAAATCAAAAAACCGTCAAGCACCATTTAAAAAGCTGTCAAAAACAGTGCAAAATCCGTCGACCGGAAGGCTAAAGAGTCACAAGCAGAAGGCAAAAAGGCAAAGACCTATTTAAAAAAACAAAAAAAACGCTCAAAAACCGTCCAAAATCCGCCGAACGGAAGGCTAAAGAGGAGCACAAGTCACAAGCAGAAGGCAAAAACCCGTTGAAAAACGTCAAAAACCATTAAGAAACCGTCAGAAACCGTGAAAAATCGGTTGTCGGACTTCACCCCTTTGTTTGTTTGTCGGACCTAAAAGGTAATTTCTGTCGTGTATATGGAAAGTCTTGTCGACCGCCGACCGCCATCGAAATCTTGTCAGGGAAAGAACACATGTTCAGGACATTTACAGTCCGGGGGACAAAGGTTGAGTTGAGCAGGACATTCACAGGTCGAGGGGTGTTCGTTTTTCTTTTGGCCCGGAGCGTTTTCACCTGAAAAAGGGCTATAGCATTGCCACGGGAAAGCCAAAGGTTGAGAGACGCAGAGTTTCGCTTTGAGGCTCGATATGATAGAGCCTGTATACACAACGCCTGGATCAACTCCGATCCGCCACTACCTGTCATAGGATAGACTTCGATTCGTACAAATTTTGAGACATCTATAGCTCAGAGTGCCCTTTACGTCCCTTTTCACCGCAAAGAAAAGGTATCCCAAGCAACTCAAAAGGTTCCTGACTGCATTCTAGTTCCTCTCCAGGAGGTCCCATATCAAGACGCAGTTGTTAAGGTCAAGCCCGCAAACAAACCTCCTGAGTTGTTCGAAGGCCACCTATGAGAAAGCGGCTCCAGCTTGCACAGGGTCTCGCCTCTTCTGTCCTCTAACCGGATGGACACACCGATGAGCCTGGTGAACACCCTCAATGTGGAGTGACATCGTTTCTTGCATTCCTTTCTACTCTTATTAGCCACGGGAAAACCGAGGGCTGAGAGACGCTGCGTCTCGCTTTGAGGCTCTGTATGATAGAGCCGATATACACAACGCCTGGATCAACTCCCATCCATTGTTCCTGGGCATAGGATAGACTTCGATCCGTACAAAAGTCCGACTCCCTTGGACGTCTATAGCTCTCAGGGGTGCACTCTGGTGAGCCCACCTCAATATGAGGTACCCTCTCTAAGGAGCAAGTCCTCTAACTGGTGTGTCCATCCTGGTTAGCCTGGTCAGCTCCCTCAGTATGGGTTGAATCTTTCCTTGCATCTCCTGTCACGCACTCTCCCCTTTCCTGTCCTCGGACTCAGCAAGTTAAAGGGCGACCTACTACTAGCCTGGCCAGCTGTGTCCAGGAATGAAGGACCGCGGCCAGGTGCTGTTGGCATGAAAATCAATTTGGACTCTGCCTCAAGGCCCTCAAGCGCTTCCTCAAAATAGTACCACCAAAGCCCAAAGCCGTTGCTTGGATGTAGACATTCGAGATATGCAAGCCTAGCCTTTCTTGGCTCCTTATTTGCTGGCAAACAAGTTTGGGCCCTATCTGCGAGAGAGTGTTGACCTGACAGTTTGGATTACCAATTGTTGAAGAAGGCGTCCCCACCATGACTAGTTGGCGTCCCTGCACGACACACGAGTCTTGCATTCCCGAGCTGTTACTCAGTTGAATCAGTTGGGCACCACAAGCTGTTTGGCCTCACGCATGACAGTCCGGTCTCCAAGCCCCGCACGCTGGTAACCAGCTTGAGCTGCTGGACCTTATCAGAAGAGTCCAAAGAAACTCCTACTTCAGATCCTTTCACTGCTTTTGGTGACCCATAAACTGATAGAAAGTGAGACCCAAAAAAGCCGTTCCGTGAAACATGTATTGGCAAGCTTATCAGTTTATCATGGTCGGTCTATCTATTTGGCAACCACTTCTTTCTCAACTCATGACTTAGTTTCTGCGTCTCTCATTGAAGCCAAGCCGCCGCCAGCTTCGGAGGTATTGACATTATTTGTTTCGTCGCTGGTCATTCCTTGACCGAACGAGCTCGTCTCTCAATGAGCCGAACTCTGTTTCTCTCCCATGCGGTTAGTTTTTGAGCCTATCCAAAAGCTGCGGTCACCGAAGAAGTTCTTCGAAGCCGCTCAAATGCAGATATGTAAGCGCTGACAACCACAGCAACCTTAGGAATTGAGGGGTGTGTGAAAGGTGTGCGTACCTTTAATTATGCATATACAGTACAGAAAGAAGTACATATTATACATTATATGAAGTCTTATATGAGGGCAGTTTGGCTCATTCGTTGTCAGTCTTGCAATGTTTGTATTGACAAACAGGTCACGACTGAGTCTGGTGAGTACATTTGCGAAAACGTCGAGAACCTGATGCATTTGTTAGCACTTGCTGGATGTGTCAATGTCTTAGATCGTGCCTTTACAGAAACCGTGGAAAAACATGCACGGAGCCAGCACAAACAAATCAGATGGAGCGGTGCCTCTGGCTTCGGCGCACCAGTGACAACACACCTTGCAGCGGCAGAGTGGCCGTGACATTTGCGTCGAGTTGACCGGGTCCACGGAGCTATTTTCTGCAACTGTGCGATTCTGTACCCCTCTGGCCCTGTCCCATGTAAAAGCGAGAAGCCAAGGAGACTGCTCTCGTATCAGTGCCAGTGGCTTCGATGCCACTTCGCTGCCACCACCAGCTGCTAGGAGAGCCTAGAAGGGTCCATCCAGCCCTTCGGGTATGTTCAGCCATCACATAAACGAAAGCCGCGTTCAAGCTCCCCTGGCCTTCCAAATGTCTGAACCTTAGAGCTTCAACAAGGTCCCCTCCGCTCGTCCGAAAAGTCCGGAGCTCTGTTCTGGAATAGGCCAGTTCCACGTGAGATTTGTCGACCTTTTGGCATTCCTAGTAGCTTCTTGTTCCTAGAAGTAAGGCCACAAGCCCCTAGTAGCGTCCTTGCTCCTAGTAGCGATGCCCTTTGTTCCTAGTAGCTTCTTGTTACTAAATACATATCCTACATGACATCTGAACGTGCACCCTGACACCTCGGATGTCTGAAAGTTGTAGCCAGGTGGAACCAAAACCCTGAGGGAGTGGTACGCTCCATCTATCTATCTATCTATCTATCTATGTACATCTATATAATCGGTCAAGTTAATCCATTCACTCGTCCTCCATCACTCTGGCCGTCCCAAAAAGAAAGCGGAAAAAAAATCCAAGAGCCGTGCGAGTCTTCGCGGAAGCCGCACTCCATACGCGTTGACCCGCCTTGGCATCTCGTCACTTGGGTGCTTAGGTGGATGAGCTCCAAGTGCAGGATCCAACCTCCAGGACCTTGGCTGAGGAAGCCTCCATTGTCACTCCTTAGAGCGGACATAACACGGGGCCTACACCCATGCTCATGCAGCGCGTGTGCGGACGAAGGGGGGAAAGATGGAAGAGACAAAAGACTATTTTCCCAAACAGCACGCAACGGAGTAGCAAACAAATTTGCAACTTCATGCCACTTCAAGTTGCGTGGAATAGCATGGAGTGGCGTCCTGGACAAACCTGTCCACGGCGCGGCCAAGCAGGACACAAACCCGGACCCGGACAAAGCGATGACGCGGCCACGGCTATCTTGGCCAGCCCTTTTTGCCGAGAAAGCCCCAACAGCAGAGTGTCTGGGGAACAGCAAACTGTCTGGGGCGCAGCTAAAGGACACCAGGACAACAGGAACCCACAGGCTTCGCGAGTATCTATATTTATCTATACTTACATGTCCATGCTTCTAAGTCTTTCATAGTCTTTCCACTTCCATTCGCCTACCTGATCTCTCCTACCTATCTAATCTATCCAATAATCTATCGAACCTATCTATATATAAGCTATCCAACCGATCTGTGATCTAATAGGTCAAACTTCTCTTATCTATCTGATCAAATCTATGCAATCTATCCAATCAATCAACCTGCTCTAATCTATCTAACCTGTCCAATCTATCTAGCCTCTCCAATCTATCTGATCTATCTTGCTGACCTTTGTACTTTGTCTAGTCATGTCATGTCTCTTAATCTACCTAATCTAGCCGATCTATCTGATCGACCTTGTCTAGCTAATCTATTGAATCTCTCTACAGTAACTGATCTAACCTATCTCACCTATATATTCTATCTATCCCATCTGTCCGATCCATCTCATCTATCTATATAATTTACCTTATCTCTCTAATCAATTTAATCTGTATAATCTAGCGAGCCTGCATGCCACTTGATGTCACTCCAAGTGTCACGACCTTAAGTCACTTCGTGTCACCTCACGCCACTTCATGTCACTTCAAGTGGCGTGAAGTCACGTAGAGTGGTGAAATTTGTGAAATTGCCCCTCTGGCGACCCCTATGTATTTTCCTCCTCTCATCCTGGCATCGTGCCCGCCAATTGCGACAAGGAGCGGTAACACCCTGTTGCTTGCCACCAGGTCTTGCAGACCCCTGCAGCTTCCATTTTCGAGCTAAGGAAATGCAAGACCTCACTTCGCAGCATTCTTGTGATGAGCCACATGTCCCCCACACAGAGCGCCTTCACCCACAAGCCTAGCTCCAAGTGTAGAAGATGTTTCTTCGAGAACTCGTAGTGTCGCAGTGTCCAAAAAATTGTCGTGATCGTGGCAAGTTTGAGCTGCGGGCACGCGTCGCCAAGCTCGGCGACTTGCGGAACACGCGCCCCCACCACTTGTAGCTCCTCAGCTCATCTCTCAGCTCCCCATCTTGCCAACACAAACTTCCTGACCAAACATGACGGGGCATGCCGTGGCAGCCAAGTCGCAAGCACATCTCCGCCCACGCACGGCACACAAACATGGCTCCACCATGCTCGGGCATGTAAGCAAGAACCTCAACACGGGAGGACGAAGGACAGGCGCGGTGAATTCAAAGAAAGCTATTGTGAGCCCACTGCCTCTGCTGCCAGCCAGTCAGGAAGGCGAGTGGTGTTCCGCATTCCAACGCACTGCGGAATCAGGTCCCTGAAAAAAAGATCCGGGGCCAGGCAGGCATAAGATCGCACAAGTCTTCCGTCCTGATCGTCATCCGCAAGACTGCGTGCAGCTCGCGCACGGTATCAAGTGCTTCCCCACGCTGCACCTAGAGTGATGATTCTGTCCAAGGTATTTCTGGCAACGAATCTCCATGCTGACTGCGTGCCTCTTGTGCAGACTCTGCCCCAAGAGTTGCTCGACTCGCCCGGTCAGCAAAGGCCATTGAGCAAAGCGTTTCCTAAAGTGCGAACATTAAGCAGGAAAAAAGGCTCTGTATCTAGAAGATTCGTTCTGCCTGCGCATGGCGGCGCTCGGGGCTGATGCAAACACAAAGCAGCACTCTCCCACTGGCCTAGCACGGTGTCCGTCTCTTCCAGTGTGTGAGGGCAAGCACAAAGTATACAGTAGCACTTCCAGTTGTCTCATGGACTTCTAGAGGGGGCCGCGGTTCACTTTAGTAGTGCGCCGCATCGCAGTGGAATCGTTGGAGTCCTGTAGGTTTTCATGGATTGTTCCAGCTGTGGCTTTCACTCAATGTGGGGTCACCCAACAAACATATCAGCGAGCTCCGTTCTGAGGGGCCCTTTCCATTCGATGGCATTGGGAAATACATACGGGATCAAACCCCATCAAAACCAGGCGAAATCGTTTCCCTTACTGTACTTGCACCAGTTTCAAGGCCCTACAGGCCCTACAGCCTTGATTTTGGACATGCCAATGTACCAAAAACCACTCATTTGATCTGAAGGCATTATTCACAAAATTGACATCAGTGGATGGAAGCCTGAATCCCAGGGTGTTTGGGCCCAGAGCTTCAAGGAAGGGCTTATGCCCAATCTTCTAACTGGCACTGTGAAATGCAGCACCTGGCACCATGCGTTGAAGATGATGTCTAGTCAAGTCTAGACACTGAGTTGCAACTTTCGCAAGACCCCAGTTCGAGTCATTCACCAAAAAGATCCAGTTGCAAAGACGCAACGATTTTGGGGGCAAGGACACGGACTTGAGCTGTAAGATGGTGGAAGAGCTACAGCTGCTGGAGTTACAGGGTGATTCTCATTGGTTGCCTATGCTCTGCATGCTCTGCTATGACTCAGGTGACCTTGAAATACACGTCACCAGTTCTCCCTGGGCCTTGAAAAAGGGCTCCAACAGCCGGGTCAACAAGCATGCCCTGTACGGCAAGTGGTTGGCACGATGCCTCGGACAGTGACTTTTCGGCACGGTCGGCGTCTGAGACGCGCGGCACGAAGTGGGGGCCGGAGACGGAATCTTACTCTTCTTGTTACTACTAGTAAGGCACCTGTTACTACTAGCGAGGCACTTGTTACTACTAGCTTCTTGTTACTAGTAGCGTCTTACTCCTTTGGGTTTGCTCAGCGGATTGCTCGGCATTGCTTTGCCTTTTGTTGCTCCTTCCTTCACCTCGGGAATCGATAGGAGGGAGGGAATCACCGGCCGTGTGGCCAAAACAACGAGCCTGAGTGCATGGATCACGGAGCCAAGAGCAGACAGCCTAAAAACAAGGCAGCTTGAGTGACTTGAGTGACCAGGATCAGCACTGGAAGTTCCAAGGCAAAAAGGTTCGGACAAGTGACGAAAGATTGATATGTCTGCTTTCTTCGGCCACTGCACCACCAGCCTGTGCATGCATGGCAGATGACAACACTTGTTTGGACGCTCGGCAAGCCAGACATTCTACTCAGAGTTCTGGAACACGCCTCTGCTGGCAACCGTTCAGAGCCGGCGAGGTCTACAAAAGCCAGGCGTAACGCGGGCTCACCTCAAGCCAAAACAGGTCCGGGAGAGGTGCTAGTTCTTAAGAGAGACACGTGAGGTCTCTTGATGGGAATCACCAAGGGATTGAGTATGAACACTGTCAACTTGTAGTGAGGTTTGTGTTTTGGGTACCTTTAAGGCTGGAACCGTGAGCTCCTGGAAGACTCGCATGAACGAAGACCTGAGCTGTAGCGCGAGCTCGAGTCATAAAATCAAAGCTGTTCTTTCACGCCTATAGTCTCCATCTCTGCAGCCTATCTAGGTCCATCTAGTCTTTTGAGTCAAACTTGATGTTCGGCAAGTGACCAAGCTGTGTGAACGGCTGCTGGTCGCATTAAAGCACCTGCGATCACAATCGATTCAGTGTGGGACACCTGCGATGTCGTGCTCGGCTGAGGATCAGTCGTGCTTCTGGTGCTGCGTCGCTCAGCAGCTTGGAGGAGCAAAGCCTCAGCCTCCTCAGCTTGAGACCAGTGATGCGAATGTAAGTATGTTCCTCAGCGCATTGCCTCCATCGCCAGCACATCCACTGAAGTGGCCTTCACCCCAGCTCTTGGCTCAACAATCAGATGTTCAGAATCAACAAAATTAGCAGAAGCTCGTGAAGAAATTGCTTTGCCTGCCCCAATGCACATTGGCAGCCCAGACGGAAGTTCAGCCCCGGTGGAGGAGGCAGGCGCCCGGCTGAAAACGCGCGACCTACAGAGAAACGCGGATGCAGGGGACAAAAAAAACAATATCTGAGGAAAGAACCAGCAGATTCATTCGCTGCTTCACCTGCTGAAGTGGCTGCACCGTCCAAGAGGTCGTACCTCTTTGAGAACCAACAAAAAATCTCTACAACTGAAAAGATGTCCCTTCCAGGCTTCGGGATGTTGGGCAGCATGTTGCAGCTTTAAAGAGCTGTCCGCAGGGTGGGCACGCCGTGTCGTTATAGATCTCAACTGCGCTCAGTGACACAGTGGCGCCACCTGAGGTGCATCGTTCCAACGGCAATGTCCCCCAGTGATGCCTCCGAGGGCTCTGCTTGCTCCGGCCAGCTGGAAGACTTCAGAAAGAACTCGGGGAACGAGGCCCCAATTCTCTTCACCACTTCCTAGCTAGAGCTAGAGGTTGCCAAGGCAAGAGGGCAATATGCTGCTGCTCTGGTCTCTCGAGCGCCAGAACTGTCCTCCATGCATAGTGTGAGTTTTTCCAGAGCCTCAGGAGCGTCAGCTCTGAAAGCCAGCCACAACTTATGTCCAATGTTGAGGGGCCCTGACCTGTCTGGCCGTAGGCCAGGATGCAAGCAGACCTGAGGTCACATGCAAAACTTGAAGACAAATTCAAAGAAGGTTATGATGATGTCCCGTTGGACTGTAGAATCCAAAAATCCTCAGCCTGTTGCTGGGGCGGGCCAGCCAGGCCTCCTGGCAGACTCAACACATGCATAAAAGAATGACAAAAAGTGATGATACAATGATATGACTATCAGCGTACATCATCCATCGACAAAACCAGTGCCACTGCTTGCCACACCTGGACTTGCAGATGGCAACATGGCCCGCAGCTCATGAAAGACCGCCTCTTGACCCTGCCAAAGGTGGACAGCAAACAACAACCAAAAGAATCCATATATGTATATAGAAACATATAGATAATGTATAATACATAAAGACTTTCAAAATATGATTTACATAAAGACGTTAAAAATATGATTTAGTATAATATCGTTGCATGTCCCAGATCACACTTTGAAATCTATCCTTCTCCAAGCATATTAACCACCTCGGTCCGGCCTTGTCAGAGCTCAGCACATAATCTAGTCGCCTGAAGCTATGCTCCTCCGCTCCAGCACGGCCTCGTCGGGGGATGGCCACCTGCGGTCAACTCCCACGTTTGGCGAGGTCTCCGCGTCATCCGACTCTGAGAGCACGACGGTGATCCCTCGGTGTCGTGCAGCACCCGGCAGAATCTTGACTGCCTCAAGGTGGCGACCCTGAAAAGAACGCGGTGAAGGTGGCAACCCCGTGCGAAGAAAACAATCTTGCACTTCCACAGGCGCAAGCCGGCTCCTCTTGCTCAATTGACTCTGGAAGACCTGCACAGAACCGTTTGCAAAAGGTTTAGGCTGTGAACGTGATTCCATGATTATGTATATATATATGTATATAGTATATAGACAGAAGCCCTTGACGCCGGGACGAAAGTAACGGAGTATCACTCCTTCGTGAATGTATGTGCATTGGTAATGCCCTCGACTCAAAAGGAAGTTCTTGGTCAGGCCTGCCTGGTGCCACCATTGGGCGGACCCTGACCACTACTCGTATAGTGCCGCTGCGCTGCTGCCACTGCGTAAGCCTCAAATGAAGGGAGGAGGTGTGACGTGGGCGATGTGCTACCAGCGTCAGATCCAGCATCACTCAGGTCGCCCACACACACACACAGCGCAGCAACGTTTTTTCTCTGCCTGGCTTTACGAAGTCTCCCTGCGATTCGGTGGGATGAACGGCAGCCAACTCGCAACCCTCCTCCATATAGATAGGAAGTGGCGGATATGGGTCTCTGATCTGGCTCTCGACGGCGCCAATACTGGATGCTGGCGGTGCCTGTGGACCACCTTCATCTGCGATCAATGCAACAACTGTGCTTCGAGCCTTCGAGCTGAAGTGCAAACCACTTGGACTTGGGCCAGGCAGGTGGTAGAATCACAACGAAGAAACAGCTCTTAATCCTGAACGTTCAATGCCAATGCTGCACTCGTGACGGTGGTCGGATTGTAGGGCCACGGCTTGCAACAACTGGGCAGCATGCCATGAGGCCGTACATCTGGGTGCCCTGAGAACGGGCGTATGGAATCATGGCACAACTTACTTCCCTACAGTAACTCTGTTCAAAATATAGCGCACACACACACACAATGTATATATATATATACGTATATATTCAGCTCAGAACGAGAATTTCTACAGCACAAGGATTTACAAACGCTCAAGGGACCTTGCCTCCTCAATAGTAGGAGGCACGCCACAGTCAAACGCCGTGGCATTTGCCACCGCCAGTCCTCTCCCATGGCACGGGGACCCGGCATCAAGCAAAGAGAGGAAATCCCAAATCCTCATGGCACAGTGACGACGCTGAAAGCAGAAATCGCCAGGAAGAACAGTGTGCCCAGTGCTGCCACACCCTCGTCACCTTTGATCCGAATTACTAGTGCCCTCCCGCTCTTGGAAAGGAACAGCCTGAACAGCCCCAATGACTGCTGTTCTTAGACTCAACAAACCCCTCTTTCCCGCCAAGTCTCTGAATGACTACTTGAGTGAAGGCATCCGGAGAGGATCCAGAGAAGTCAAATCGGATCTTGGACCGAGCGAGACGCATTGCTTCTCGGCGACGCTGAATCTCCAGCAGACCCATCCGCATCAACGGTGTCATAAACTCACCAGCCCTCACCTGGCCGCTTCAGCCAGGGAGGACACACAAAAAGAACAACTATCAAAGCAAGGGTGTCATCGTAAATTAGAGGTATAGTATGGTATAGTGTGTATATAATATATTGCTATAATACTGTATGTAGATTATGACTCCTGTCACTGTACGATATAACTATATAACTATATAGTCATGCACCTCATCAGGCAACTTGAAAAGAGCGCCGCCGCCGCGCCGCGGTGTTTCAAAAAGCACATTTTAAAAAAAAACACCGACACCGCGACAGCCTCCTGCTCGGGAACCTCAACCACAAAGCTTCGGTAGTCAATGGCCGACCAGAAAGGTACCATTCGTTCTGCAGGTGGCCCACCAGGAAGCCACCAGCTGACGTGGCCAGGAACGTGCGAATGAAATGCAATCACCACGGGAAGGCAACCCGTGAGCATGGCATCCTTGCAAAATTTCAGGATTGTCCCGATGATCAGAATTGAACTAGATCACAAGTATGCACAGAAAGCTGAGGACTGCACAAAAAGTCTCTTCTGATGAGGCACATCTCCCTGAATCACCGGGCAGAATACAGACCTCCCAAAAGCGTCGGAACATGGTGCACCACAACACCCTGTCATGAGTCATGGGGCATCTAGAAATTGGTGCGTCAAATGTGAAAGCACCCCCCCCTGAATCACGAGTTCTGCCTCATCATCTCTTCCAGCACCATTTGCGGAGAGGTAGCAGATGTTTGCCAAATATCTCGAGCCTCATAGTCTCCATCAATCCCGTGAATAACCACATTCTTGGCATCGATGGTCTGCTTGTGCTTCTGCATTTGGCTTACCACTCTCTTTCTCCATACTTTGTCGATGGAGCCAAACCAGTAGGCGAAAATATGCCTCTCCGGCTCACGACCCAATGCTTCTTTGTCCTCCATCTTGGCGCCGGGTTGCAGGTCTGGATCAAGGTTGGGACTTGGAACCACAATATGACCCCCACAGAAAGACGCACCCAAAGAGAGCAGTAAAGGCTGGGACTGAATCTCCACTGGCAAATCCTTGATGTCACCGGTGGCGAGGAACAAGTGACGCCCACGCGTGCGCCAGGAAAAGTGAGGCAGAGCAGCGAAAAGATGTTTCACTGCAGTAGCACACTTGCATTTTCCCCAACAAGGATCGCGACCCGCGTTGCCGCTTTCGGCACAATCTGTCTTGGCAAAGTAGGGGACGACGAAAAGATCTGCTTCATTGGGGTCCTCTGTCAGAACCCCCTCTGGAGCTGCTAGAAATTTCAGCAATATGATGACTTCAGTGGCAAACTGACGGTTCACAGAAAAAAGGCCATTCCAAGCTGCTTCCGTGCAAGGGGTGAGACCGTAGTCACACTCACTTCCGGTCATCCATCCACCCAGTTGCAACCGGTTCAGCAGGTCTGCGTTAAACATGCGCGGCAGGGGATAAATAAAGACCCGTAGCAAGCGGACGGTCCCCCGGTGAGACACCCAAAAGTCGTCTCGGTGTGTGTGCACCGATGGAGTCGTCTCGGGGCCATCGCAAAGCAGTGGTCCAAAAAACTGCCGACTCAATGTCTCACCGAAGGACAGACGTCCGGAGTCCGGACATCCACAGCACCTCTCGTAGGTTCGTGCTTCGTCGAAGCAGCGGGCATCAGGGGGGGATCCCCTGTCGCAAAGGTGCAATCCAAATTGGAAACCAAGAGTGTTGACAGAAATGTCTTGTTGACATTTGTGGTTCTAGTATTTTTAAATTCGGACACCTATCAGATCGTTTTCTAGCACATGTTGAGCACACATCAATTTGCATTTGCATTTGCATGTTTTGGTGTCGCTCTTTCTGGCACGTCTCGTGCGTGGCTGTCGTACTACTTCACACTCCTTGACACCTATTGTCTGTTTCCAAGTCCTCCATTTTGCAATGAAGGCGAGTTCACTCAATTAATCTGGATGGATTACCCTGGAACAAGTCAATAATACTAAAAAGTGGCCACGCACCGGTTTTCCCTCCGCTCGAGCCCCGTGGCTTCACCACCGTCCGTTCGGCGGCCCCCCGACACCGACGTGCCCGCTTCGACACAAACCCCCTATGGTGTCGGTGTCTTTGGGGCCGCCCGGCCATGGACATAGCGTTTCTTACGCTCGGCCGCTTCCCTCCTCAGCCGCTGCGCTTCCTCATTGTCGACGAGCGACCACCTGCCTTCACGGAGAACCTGAAGGAGAACTCCGTTATCCGACCATTTCGTGAGGCCATCGCTCACCATCTCCCGGCCGGGGATCCACCGCACATAGTTGGCGGTGCCTTCCTCGATGAGCGCCTCCCGCAGCACGGCGGCATCCACCATGATCTTCCGGTCGCTGGTCATCGCCTCCGAGTTCAGGACGTCGTAGCCGGTCTTCGCATCGATCACGAGATAGTGCGGCCACCGGCTCGCGAACCACTTCCAGCGCCGGATCTCGAAGTCGGCGAAGAGCGTCTCGGCCAAGACCGCCCTCACGAAGTCGCCGTGCTCAAAGGCCTCCGCGGCCATGGACAGCTCCGCACTCATCGAGCATCTGACCACTCGCTGGATCTTCATGCTCTGCGCCTCGAGCACCGCCACCGGCGCCACCCCCTCAAGCACCTTCGGGTTGGCGAGGAGGCACATGACGCCTCCCTGGGAATGCTCCTTGGGCTGAGCAGCATAGGCCGCATCGCTTGCCGAAATGACGATGGCCTCCTTGAGGTCGCAGTCCAGCTTTGTCACCTTCACTTCGACCTCCTTTCTCGCACGGCTCACCAACTTGGCCGTCCATTCCATGGCTTCTCGTAGTCCGGCTCCCGCCAATTGTTGACAGTGCGACACCCCATAGGACAGGTCGTATCGTCCCTGCCTGGCTGCCCAGTTGACCTGCCCCAAAATGGAGCCGATCTTCACCCTCTCCTTCTCCGTGAGGGGGCCCTTCTCCGCCGCGCACTCCTCCTTGAGGATCTCCGGAATCTTCGTGATGTAGTCCTCCATCGTGTAGTAGAACTCGAAGGTCTGTGGATCTTGTCGCTCATACCGTCCACAAAACTTTTGCCATCCATCAGTCGCCTTTCGATGTTGCCCAAACTTCAGCCGCTGATGGAGTGCGTCCCAAATCTCCTGAGCACTCTCGTCGCCGGCATATCGGGTGTCATCCACATGGATCGTGACCAGAGCCCTCAGTCGTCCATCCGGGTGAAAGGCCACAAACATGCCCGGGATGAGCTTGAGCTCGTTGAGGTTGATCTCCTTGAGGGTCGCCTTGTACTCCAAGTACCACAGGCGGGGCGATTCACAAAGGCCAAAACCTCCCTTCAAAAGCCTCAGGAGATCCGTGCGGCAGGAATCCCCCAACTGCTCCAGGAGGTAATCCGTGACCACGCCGGGATAGCCAGTGGGCATGCGAACATATACTTCTCGACTGGCCGGCAACCTTTGCCCTTGCAAGAACGCCGATGCCACGTCCTCATACTGCACGACCCACCCCATCTGCACGGCAATCGTGTTCAGGATGTTGTGTGCCAGGATGCTTGCCGTAGGTGCCAACGTAGGGAATTTACCAGCCTCCACGTCGCGGTGCCCGCCCAGGATCCACCTTGCCTTCAACTCCGCCTCCATCAAGGTCTCTCCGCCCTTATTCGTGAGAACGAACCTGGAGCTCAAGATCTTCCGCGGGTCCACCACTGCATCTTTGCTCACTCCCTGGATGGCATCGTGGTCAAAGTACACCTTCACTGCCTTGATGAGGGGCTGTTCGTAGGCCTTCCGCCACTCTTCACTGAGGTTCTTCCACTGGTACTCCACGCGGAGCTTGCCCGTGACCAGCTGCGCCTCCATCACTGCCTTCACCTCGCCCTCTGCGTGGCACTCTGCCTTCTCCACGAGCTGCGCCATCCATGGACTGCTCTCATCCT